TGTATTTTTCGTTAAAAAACTCTGACTGCGGCGCCCCGTTTCTTATCATTCTTGCTGCGGAGGCAAAATAGTTTTGTCTTGCGGAGTTTCTTTTAGCTGAGAGTTGAAATGAGTTTCAGGCAAGGCAATAATCCCTGAGTTTGGGGATTGCACGCAGAGCTGGACGGCGAGATTTTTATTTCTCCTTTTGAATTAAAACTTTGCTTCTGACAGCACTGTCACAGTGACAGCGGATACATGTTTCTGAGACGGTTTTTCATCAAGGTGGCTCAAAATGGGGGTAATCTGGAGACTCTGTCTTAGCATAAATGAGCTTTAAAAAGAAGCAAGTAACACAAGATAGTCACCCGGCTCTGTATCTGGGTTATGAGTTGTTTTCCGTAACACAGCTTCATCTCTTAAAAATAATGAAACCTTTGGTCCTAATTCCCTACTTAGCTCTAGTAGAAGCTGGTCAAAACTAAAGGAAAGATGTTTTTCACTAGAAACATTAATGTGAAAAGCAGCTCTCTTAAATCATCAGGAACATTCAAAATCCCATAATAACATATAGAAGTTCTTTTTCTGTTTCCCTCGGTTTTTGGAGTCCTTGTACTAATATTTTAATTAACTATACCCCTCATTTTTTTTTCTCCAGAATACTTCTTTTGGTGAAGCACTGTAGATAAACATACTCATTTCTATGTTCTTATTTTAAGATAGTTTACTTGTGTGCTTACTTGTACACTATACTTCAGGAATTTTGTCATCCAGAAAAAGCAATTTCACAAAAAGAAAAACAAAATAAAATCAAAATATGGTGTACATGTTTTCATTATGAAAAATAGAAGTAAAACTGCAGGATTTTCTTTAATAAAATAATATAAATCAAGTGGCTTAATCAAACAATTTTGTCCTCAAAACTGCTGAGAGAAGCAAGGGCATGGCTTTTTGCAGTGCATGAGCTTTATGATGTGGGATAAATTGAATACACATAAAAATGATTTTTTTCTTAGGATGACTTGGATAGAGAAGTGTCATGTTTGAGCATTCGTAGTATACTGTGGGAAAGAATAGGAGACCCTTTGTCTTGTCTCATGATTATAAATGCAGTAATTTGGCTTCTTTCACTTTATCTTTTGATAATGTAATATCACACGCTGTCTTGTGAAGTTTTGGTGATTTGGGATTCAGCTTTCAGAACTTGTCAGTGGTACTAGATTATCATGAGTGGGGTGCACCTAAAGTGTGAGAGACTTCCAAGAGATGTGGTGGCATTTCAGAGGTCTTTTTTCTAGAGAAGGTAAACAGCAGAATACCATCATATGAGAGAGTATAAAAGCAGAAGATCATGTGGATTTTGATTTTTTCCGATGCTGTATTTCACAGTAGTTTCACCTGCTGAACCCACTGTGAATTTTGGGCTGTGAAGTACCTTGTCACAGAAGTGAATCTGTTGGGAAGAACACACACCATCGGGGAGAAATTTCTGGGTGATAGTTCTGTAGCATATGTATTTCCTTCAAATTCTGTATCTTACTCAATTCTATTGACTCATATCAGTCACTCCACTAGTAACTTTACCTTTAAATTCTTTTGATCCTTTGCAAATGCATTTTCCCGGGCTTAGGCTAGACCTCTGTTATTCGTTTAAACACTGATGTAGTAGCACAGTCCTGGAGCAGTCTATATGCTTTCCTAAAAGTTCCTTTTCCTAGTTGTCCCAAATTTTGGCCATCTACATGGACTTTTAAATTTTGTTTTTCACAACCATAGGCAGTTAATTTTAGGCTCAGCAAAGAAGGAAATGCAAAGAGATCTTGCAAATGTTTCCAGGTGGAGAAGGGGAAGGAGAAATAAGTTTAATTTCTTAAATTTAATGGAGAATTTATTAAAAAAAAGATCATTACTTCAAATATTATTGTCAAGAAAAAAGATCTTAACTTTTTTTCCTAATATGAAGTTTTGTACAATGACGTACTCAGTAAAATGAGAATGGCTTCTGTCCCCTATTTTTCCTAAAAAAAAAAAAAAAGTTAGGCAAATAGAACATTTATTAAATACCAATTGGCCTTGGGGCAATTGATTGAAGAATCAGGAGCACATGTAATGATTTCCTTGATCCTTCCAGTAACAGAATATTTATTAAATACAGTGGACTGGGATATTTAGAAGTGATGTACCAGGAAGAAGCTTCCTCCTCCTCCTTCTCCTAAAAACAAGTAGGGCTGGTACCTCATACAGCCGGTATGAGTCCCTGGAACTGGACGGCCAGACAACTGATGAGGTGGGTGAAAGTTCTTCTGGGGCAGAGGGGACTCCTAAACCAACACCAACTGTACTCTGCGTCACGGCCACCTCCGCTGAAAGGGGAACAGAGGGCCTGATGTGCACACTGGACCCAACTCACAGGGAAGTCTGTTCTCTCTCAGGAGCTCTGTTGACAGAGGGAAGAGTGCCAGCAAAACTTGAACTCAGGACATGAGGAGAGCAGACTTCAGGCTGCTTGGGGAACAAGCAAGTAAAGTCCCCTAGGAAAATGTTTTTGCTGGTGCTCAAGCCCACCAGTGCTGGTCACTCGCTAAACGTTGTCTCCTAAGGGCACAGGAGCAGGCAATTCCTAAATGTCAGAAGTCAAGCAGATGAGGCAGAAGGCTGAACAGGGAAATAAGGTGAAAAAGGAAGGTGTATGCTCAGCGGAAGCAAGATCAGCTGACATGAGAAGAATACAGAGATACTGCTTGCCACTGTGGGGGTAAAATTCATGAGGCCAAAGCTCAGCTGGAGTAAAAGCTGGCCAGAAATGTGGGGGACAAAAAAGAGTTTTTTCAAATACATTAATGGCAATAGGTAGTGTGTAACATTAGCCTGTCATAGGATGAGAGTGGTCACCTCACAAACAGGAACAGAGACAAGGCAAAGGCATTTAATGCTTTCTTTGCCTCTGCCTTCAACGTGGATGATGGACCAAGGGAATCTCAATGTCCTGAACTGGAGGACCATGACTGTGAGAATGATCAACTCCCAGATGACCCTGAAGTTGTGCAGGATCTACAACAGGATAACCCACCTAGTTGATCTAGGAAAGCCAGTAGATGTAATCCTTTTGGACTTAGCAAAGCTTTTGGTACTGTCTCACACAATATCCTTCTGGACAAAATATGCAGCACACAGCTGGATAACCATGTTATGTAATGAGTGAGCAGCTGCCTCACAGGTTGGGCACAAAGGGTTATACTGAAGGGGGTATCATCAGGCTGGTGACCTGTCACTAGTGGGGTTCTGCAGGGCTCCATCCTTGGCCCAGTTCTCTTCAACATCTTCATTAATGATTTGGACACAGGACTTGAAGGAATACTAAGTTTGCCAACAACACTAAACTGGGAGGAGCTGTTGACTCCCTCAGGGACAGAGAGGACCTGCAGAGACCTCAACAAATGAGAGAGATGAGCAATCCCCGACTATATGAAGTTTAACAAGGGCAAGTGCTGGATTCTGCATCTGGGATAGAGCAACCCTGGTTGTCTGTACA